AAACAGATTTATGTGCAGGTAAGAAATAGGTATGAGGTGTGCTCTAGAGCTGTATAAGGTCGCAATTATTTTCACAAATGTATCTCTGGCTGCTTTGAACGTTTTCACCAGAAGATTTTGATGAGCCCAGTTAAATTTACCGATCTTCCCAAGTACCATTTTTCAACGGAAAAATCGCGACATTTCGAAATTAAATTGAGATTTTTTTACGATTTTATCGGAGATAAAATCGCCAAAAAAATGGGGTTCGCGCTCTTTCTCGCCGCGAGCCATATGACCTGCGCGGCGGATTCACGCGTCTTCAGCCGATTTCCGTCCGGTTCAGCCGTCAGGTCCTTTGACGAAGACGAGAGTAAAATCCCCGGAGCCTCCGCGCGGATTCGAACCCGAGTCGCAGCGGTGGTAGGCCAGCACATTGCCACTAGGCTATGGCCACTATATGGCCAATGAGTGCAAATTCAAGCTTCTTAAATGGATTGGCGCTTCGCAACCTCACAACTTTTGTCATTGCGTAGACTGATACCGAGTTTTCATTAGACTTTTTTTTTATTTTCCCTCGTCTGTATTTTATTTCATACCTTGAAATACGGTTGGTAAAATAAGGGTCTATTGGTAATCTTATCATTCTGTCTCGGTAAAATTACCAATAATAGTGAGATGGCAAAGTTACCGATGGAGCTTGGTAAAAACGCCAATATTTCTTATCGACTGTGGTAGAATTACCGAGATAAAATGGTAACCTTACCGGGAATTGATTACCTACCAATAAAAGTGGTATTCTTACCTGAATAAACCAGATAAAATACTGGTTTTTAGGTAAGCTTACCAGTCTGTCTTGGTAACATTACCAATGATTGGTAAAAGAAGTGAGATGGTAAAGTTACCAATAGACCAGTGGTAAAAACGCCGAGAATATCTTCTCGGTGTGGGCGTACCTACCACCATCCCAACCCCACGCCCAACCCCGTATCGAATCGTTCTTACACATCCGCTAATTGCATTTTAACCCCTCAAAACAAACTCCGCTTTACCCCACTTCTCCTCTCCACACTCCCAAAACTACCTCATACCCTTTCCCTTATGACCATGCAGAGGCGATTTTAGAAGTTGACACATTTTCATCTCAATTGGGGGGGGGGCGGCATAGAAACATCTTCCATAAGCATCATTCATGCGTTAGTGGGCGTTGATGAGATACTGAAATTTTATCTCTATAATATCGCGTTCGATAAAATCGAACTTTTATCTCAATTTATCGCAAGTTTTCTCCCGATAATATTGCAATAAATCGACGTTGATAAAATCGCAATTTATCGCGAGCACTGCTACCTGAGATTCTTGTAAATATAGTTATAGGTATTCCTGACAGTTATCGCGCCTAACAATTAAATACGACTTTTATAAACACTCCATGTAAACACGGCCGGATTTACCTACTTGCCACCCATGGGCCGCCTTAGGGTGCATCAAAAAAATGAAAGTCTGAAATGTTCCACTTCCGGACATTGATGACGTTTGGTAAATATAAACATGTTTGCCAAAATTTGGGCCAATTTCAACCATTTTAAATGGCGCCAAAGGTCAATTTTGTGATGAAATTATTATATTTTGGTTTAGACCTAGATTTCGTACAAACAACTCGATTTTACGCTGAAATCGTGCGTTTACGAGAAAAATGCCACAGAACTCAAGTTGCAGAAGATGTAACTTTACTCTAGGAAGACGTCTTTGTAAATGATAAAAATCAAATTGAACTAGAAAAACTCNTTTTTTTTTTTTTTTTTTTTTTTTTTTTTTTTTTTTTTTTTTTTTTGTCCTCAGAATTTCCGAGGTCTTACAAAGCAGTAGCGGTTTAAAAGACTCATTTTTCACGAAAATAAGTCGAAAGAGGGTATAAATGAACTGTAGGCAAGTGTTGAGGATGCAAATGTCATCAGAACTTCCTCAGTTTCAAAAAAAGTTCCAACTTTTTTGCACAATCCTCCAAAAAGCGTACGGCTAGAGAGGCAGGATCGTGCTATAGTACGGGAGAAGTGCGGTTTGACCGGGAAAAATTGCGTAACAAACTTTCCCTATGTAATCATCGTCAGTAGGTCCCCATGAACAACTTCCTAATAGTTAAAAATGGCCCGACCCCGGAACACCCCTCAAAGTGGTTAAAATTGAAAATGGCGGCCGTAATAAGGGGGTCCGGGAAATCGGTATTTTAAAACCCCAGTGGAAGTGAACCTCATGCGGCGGGAGGTCTGCAGGTGGTTAACCATCCGCGGCGGGGACTAACCTCCTGCTAACCTCAAGCAACCTCCCGTCGCATGGGGTGGACACCCTGTTCAAGGAAAAAACCGAACAACCTCCCGCGAACCTCCCGCGAACCTTAATCACCTCAAGCAAGGGCCTGCAACCCCATGCAGCTCACTAAGGCTTGCGAGAGGTCTACGGGAGGTTCGCGGGAGGTTACTCGGTTTTTTCCTGGAACAGGGTGTCCACCCCATGCGACGGGAGGTTGCTTGAGGTTAGCAGGAGGTTGCAGGAGGTTAGTCCCCGCCGCCGATGGTTAATCACCTGCAGGCCTCCCGCCGCATGAGGTTCACTTCCACTAGGAAATGCTCATTCTGTCTCATATGAGGTATCATTTCCTATGTAATTTTGATCGTAAACATAAATGAATTCCACAAGGCCCCCCGGTCAAAGGGGGCGCTCCAAATCAAAGATGGCGGCCAAATGTGAAAGGCAGGAGGTTGCATTTTATTAAATATTCACCGAAGGAACAATGACAAGCGACAGGGGTCTCCATTTCTTTGTATATTTAGTCGTGAACTTAATAAATGAAGGCATAACCCCCCCGATCAAGAGGGGCGCCCCAAATCCAAGATTAAGTTTATGATATGTTCAGTAATAAGAAATTGATGGAAGAAAACAGTATGAATCATGTGTGCAGGTATTGTTAAAGAACGGAGAAAATGCACGCAAGAGAATTGGAAGAGAGTATCTGTTGACCCATTAACACATTAATAACGCTTCTGAGCTTACGTTTCTATCCGTTGTCGTATGTTTCTTTTGATTTCCTTTATTAAATGCATTTATAACATCAAATTTAGGTTTCTTGGCCATAAAATGAAAATATAGACACTTCACTTTCCTTGTTCCTTCGGTGAATATTTAATAAAATGCAACCTTCTGCCTTTCACATTTGGCCGCCATCTTTGCTTTGGAGCGCCCCCTTTGACCGGGGGGCCTTGTGGAATTCATTTATGTTTACGATCAAAATTACATAGGAAATGATACCTCACATAAGCCAGAATTAGCATTTTAAAATACCGATTTCCCGGACCTCCTTATTACGGCCGCCATTTTCAATTTTAACCACTTTGAGGGGTGTTCCGGGGTCGGGCCATTTTTAACTATTAGGAAGTTGTTCATGGGGACCTACTGACGACGATTTCATAGGGAAAGTTTGTTACGCAATTTTTCCCGGTCAAACCGCACTTCTCCCGTATTATAGCACGATCCTGCCTCTCTAGCCGTACGCTTTTTGGAGGATTGTGCAAAAATGTTGGAACTTTTTTTGAAACTGAGGAAGTGTTGATGACATTTGCACCCTCAACACTTGCCTACAGTTCATTTATACCCTCTTTCGACTTATTTTCGTGAAAAATGAGTCTTTTAAACCGCTACTGCTTTGTAAGACCTCGGAAATTCTGAGGACAAAAAAAAAAAAAAAAAAAAAAAAAAAAAAAACAAATACAGAGTTGAGTTTTTCTAGTTCAATTTGATTTTTATCATTTACAAAGACGTCTTCCTAGAGTAAAGTTACATCTTCTGCAACTTGAGTTCTGTGGCATTTTTCTCGTAAACGCACGATTTCAGCGTAAAATCGAGTTGTTTGTACGAAATCTAGGTCTAAACCAAAATATAATAATTTCATCACAAAATTGACCTTTGGCGCCATTTAAAATGGTTGAAATTGGCCCAAATTTTGGCAAACATGTTTATATTTACCAAACGTCATCAATGTCCGGAAGCGGAACACTTCAGACATTCAGTATTTTGCTGCCCATGGGTCGCCTGTATTTTGCCACCTCCTTCTAATTATTTTTGAAACATCGATACAAACCATCATGTGAACGTGCTGGAGGAGGAGGGGTTCATAAGACGCGTTTACTCGTGTTGGGCACATTTTTTGTGAAAGCCCTATCAACACTAGCAAAAGTTCACGGAACTTTGCGCGAGAGTTAAGTTCCGTAAACCTATCTATGTGTGGACAAAGCCTTCTATTTTTAAGAAATGAACGAAAAAATTATGGAAGAATAAACATGGTTTAATAAGTTTAATTTCCACCACCGCGCCGACCGGACTGTGTTTGGCGCATTGCGTGAAGTATCCCTACAGTCTTGTAGGCGCTATGCGTTTCACGAAAACCGCTGCTGACCGCCCTACGTTTGACGCAATGCGTGAGGTATTCATGGAGTCTTGTAGGCGCTAATTTATGTTTCATGCTGTGCCCTCGGCTGATGCCCTCGGCGCGCCGAGGGCATTTTCATCTCAAGTCATCATTGCTCTCTGCGCCGCTTCGCTCCAGGCTCAATTGCGTGTTTGGTTTTTCTCTCAACTACACTAATGAAAGGTGCTTTCGTCTCTTGTTCCACCGAAAGACGAAAAAATTGGAAATTACTATACTTCAACTCTCAGGAAATGAGAGATGTTGTCGCCTTTTCTCGTTAGTAATTTTTTTTTTAATCCGATTTTTTTTTTTTTTGATACCGACTTTTGAGAAAATTTCAAAATTTGCCGCCCCCTAAATTTGCCGCTGTGGGCCGTGGCCCTTGCGGCCACCGCCTAAATCTGGCCCTGCATGCAAAATAATATTTTTTTTTGTTTAATTTTTTTAATATATTATAGTACCCGTAATTCGTCTGACAAAATGTGCAACTGTGTGAGTGTATAAGTAAAAGATTTGATGCGCGGCTTTCACAGAAAATGTGTCACATTTTTCCATTTACCTTCTCTCCTGGCGCATCATTGGAGCTGTTGTCTTGCTTGATAACTTGCATGACCGCTGACTCTCCAGCACCGAAGGCAGCATACCAAAACGAGAAACACAATTGCGAGTCTTCTGCGGCAGGTATCACTGGTGAGACTAATCGAACCATATTGTTACCAAGAATCTGATTGAACAAGTCATAGTATATGTATCCATCTGTAACGAGATAGAAAGTAGGTACTATAGCTTGGCATTGGGTGCAAGAAGGGAATTTCTTAGGAAATCTTGTTCCGATGTGCAGGTTGTCTCAGGGTTCAACGGTCATACTATAGGAGCGTGTTCTGTGAGTAGAACTAGGGCATTTTCTTTTCTGATTTTTTTTTCCAAGAGTGCCCCCTGATGGAGCTAATCGTTCCCTGTGATACCTCGTTCAAAAGAGCATAAAAAGGAAAACTTTTTGTGCAAACCCGAAGTCAATATCTTAATCCGTTTCAAAATGGCGGCCGCTTAAAGTTCAAAATGGCCGAAAATTGGCACCTCGGTTTTTTGTTAATGGATTTGCCTGAAACTCGGTATCGGGGGGTATTTTGACACGAGAAAAACGAATTTAATATTAGATTTTTAAGAAAACCAAAATTTCCAAAATTGCCGAAAATTATTTTTTTTTTAGAAATCGAACTTCAAATACGTTAATATCATGCCAAAATACCCCTAAGTCGACCCAAGTTTCAGACAATTCCATCGGCAAAAAACCGAAGTGGCAATATTTGGCCATTTGAACGTTAACCGGCGGCCATTTTGGAGATGTCGGTTTCTTTTTAAATCGAACGTCAAATTCGTTTACCTCATGCCAAAATACCGTTGGATACCGATTTTGGCGCAAATCATTTGACAAACAAACGGTGTCACTTTTCGGCCATCGTGAACTTTCACCGGTCGCCATTTTGAAACGGATTGAGATGTTGACTTCAGGTTTGCGCTAAAAATTGCGCAAAAAAAGTTTTCTTTTTTTATGCTTTTTCGAACGAAGTATCACAGGGAACCTTCCCATTAGAAAAAAAAGCTGGGGTCCGTTGCTTCCTCAAAAGGGCTCCCCTGAAAATTCTAGGGGGTAGCTAAAAAGTAGCTCCCTTTGACCTAGAAACATCCTCAAAGTTTCAAATCTTTACCTTAATTAGGTAAAAATTTAGTAGGGGTGGAAGGGACTTTTGGATCACCCTGTATTAACTTCATTTGACCCTCAAAAAAAAGAAAGAAAGAAAGAAAGAAAGAAAAAATGCACGCAAATAAGTGTACCTTCTTTTCTAATATTTTTCTATTTCTTCCTTTTCTCTCTTCTTGGCCAGTTAATTTAATCAATTTCAAGATTTCATCATGGTAATGTCAATTAATTGCTTCAAGAGGCAAAAAAGAAGGTGAAACAAAATTACGAACTCACCGGGGGCTCCAAAAGTTTTATCAGGCAAGTTTGCGGGACGCCTTGTAATAGTTGCCAGTCGCCATGAAGCGATGGTTTTATCTGTCCCATTCGACCAATCGCACATGTCTCGCTCAAAACGACACTCACCCACTCGTACTGTTGCTGCTTTTGGTATTGCTGGAAATGTTAAAATTCCGTTGAAATGATCCTAGTAGTTATAAGGAATATTTATTGACATGGTAGTCATTCTTGATGATTTACCGTTCCTCTCATAATTGCGTTACATGGCCAAGGCAGGCTGCATTCTTCTAAGTAGGTTCCTTAACTAAACTTTCAGAGCCTTTTGTGACTAGGGTTCCAATAATTTTGTTACTGTTAGTTTTGTTCTTGTTTTGTTGGTTTTGTTGTTTGTTGTATTGGTTAATAATTCATACTATCTATACTATAAGTTTTCAGACCTCCTAAATTTTTCATCACATTTCATTTTTTCTTTAGAAAACTAGCCAACATAATTCCTTTAAAACTTCTTTGATTTAAAGTATTAAAATGTTCTTCTATGATAGAAGATTTTTCTGTATAAGTTAACAAGCCATAGGGTTGGTTTTTTTCTTTTAAATAAAATGGAATGGACCACTAGACAAGGTACGAATTTCTGCATTCTGATACATGTGTCTTGACCAAAATTTCACGTAAAATACGACGCGCACGGAAAAAATTACTGAAATCAACTCCTTCCAAAGATATTTAATGATTTTTGATGCGTGAATTCAAACCACCCGCTCATGCAAACTCAATGCTCTGCGTGATTCACATCGTGCGCTAAACGTTATCATGACAGTCTCTGCGATATAAAAATCTGGCAACCTCAATCTTGACGCTTTGGCTCAGCTGTAGCAAATTGCTATTAGTTTGAACAACGCATGGTGGGTAATGAAATAATTACTCGATTGAGACTTGTTTAAACCGTTGTAGTGCGCGATTTGACTCACGTAGACCTTTGAGTTTCTTGTCAGCGGGCAGTTCAAATTCCTCGTAACCAATGTGAAATAAAAACGTTAATATCTTCGTTTGGAGTTTGTTTCATTAGTTTTCATTGTGCGAATCGTGCTCTACGTGAAATTCTGGTGAAGAAACATGTATTAGAATGCTTAAATTCGTACCTTGTCTAGTGGTCCATTGAAGCGGAAATTTTGAAACACCGCAATAGAAGTAAGTAGTTTCGCACCTATGGTCATCGATTTTTTGCAGAAAAGACTTATCCAAAACGAGAGACATACCAGAAGTCAGTTCAAAATCTCGCTGCGGACTATTTTGTTGATTTTGAACAAACCCTTTGACTCTACATGATTCCGCTTGGTTCCTGCTGCATGCAATCGAGAAAATAGATACCTAGGGTAAATTTATTATTTTGTGTATGAAGCACTTACTTGAACAAGAGCCCCCAAAAAACGTGATATCATCTAATGCAATGAACCCGTTGATTCTGGCAGATCCCCAAACTCCTTCAATAATTATCTGAAAAAGGGTAATTTACACAATAATTGACAAAAAACAGTTTTGAAAGCGTGGTTTCACTTTGAAAATGGGCTTTAGGCTTTAGATAAAAAAATTTAAAAATGCCACTGATATCCCTAGCAACCAAAATACCAGTGTATATACTTATTGAGTGTATATCTACCATATTTTATACATACTTAAAAGATATTTTATAAATAGTATAAAATACTTATGTCTATAGATGTGGCATCTAATATGTACTTATGTATATAATACTAGCTGCTTGGGGGGGGAGGGGGTGCTTCGCAGGTTATTTTCAGGCCTCCATGAAGTGGCGTTATCGAAACGACTAGTCACCTCATTAGTTTTTCTTATAATGATTTTTTTTATTTTTAAGTTGATTTATTTTTTCATGTTATTTGTATCTGCCTGTGATGAAAGAAAAACATTTGTTTGCTGACTAAAGAAAAATTAGCATGCCCTGACGAAAAGAAAATGTTCTAAATATGTTGGCTTCTACGATAGCAGTTCGTCATAAACAATGTCTCTTGTTGTTACATGTGCGCTTTGAAGTCGATCTGTTTTTTGAGCAAACCAACGATATAGAAACTGTAGATTGGTGGTGGCCCACAAAAAAACGTGACACACATAGAGTGGTCACTCGTCAGGCGGGCGGGGAGTGGAAATGGCCGATTGCTATCTTTCGTCATAACCTCTAATACATGGGATGTCACGGGAGTTTTTACAATAAATGATTTAGCGTTGAAATTATCATCGTAGACTCACTTGAGAATGGCTAACTTCCATCTGGACACAGATATTCAAACAGTTGATTCTAAATTTGATGTAAGTTTATATTCAGCAACAGTCCCGAAGAAGCCGTAGAGACCGACCATCTTCGTCCTAACCTAATTCTTGCTCCTGGCGTGTTATGAATTGCACTGTTGACGTAGCATAGGATCCCCCTATCTAAAGTAGAGTCCCTTTATACCCAGAGTTGCCTGGGGCCAGAGGTGCCTGGGGCCAGAATTGCAGAGAGGCCTGGGCTGGCCACGAAGGCACAAAAGAGTGCACTCAAACGAACGATATTGAGGGATAAGGATAAGAAATTTTGCGTGGCGTGCGCGGAGCAAAGACATTGAATCACGTAGACCGTGCGTCCGGCTCGGTTTAGTATCAGGTCTGTGCCTGATGATGGTGGGAATAAACCACCGAAACGTCGCAATGTAAATTTAAAATAAATAAAAAGTAATTTGAACGGTTATAAAACTCATGAAATTCATTTAATCATACAATTATAATAACAATGAAATTAGACTTACATATATATTTATATATATCGACGGTGCAAGTCGGCAATCACATAACTCGGTTTGCGACGTCGCAGACTTCCTGTCACATTTTATTTTTTAAACAGAAAACTACTCAACGGCAATTCTTTAAAACTGCCGTGATTATTCTTCTCTGTGCAAAGAAAAATCTGCAAAAACACCAAGGAATTATGTCAATTTGTTCTCCTTTAAAAAAATAACATAGAGGCGGAGATTTTCAGACACCGCAAACGAGTTATGTGTTTGCCGACTTACACCGTGTATGTATATATATATAGGGCTTAGTTAAAACTAAGCCCTAGCGTATGGGTGAACCTCAATATCTTGGCAATCGCTGATCCAAATTCAATAGACTATAGATCGTCAAAAAGCTGACAATATTTTCTATAAACACGATTATACAGACTCATTTCAGCTGTTATTCTTTTGGAGGAATGAGTTAGGGGAACAGCCCACGTAAATCATATTTTGGCTACAATGGATATGCGGACACTTACTGAGTCATTAGGATCCTTGATTAAAGCTTGACCATACTGCCAGTCTGGGCCTTGATGGTTGTAGAGTCGCCAAATTGGCTTCATCACAACATTGTTCTGTTTGTCAATGTTTTTTGTAAAAATGCTCACCGCTCCCAAGCTTGGACCGTTTGCATCAATAAATGGCTCGTTCATAATGAACCTATGGCATATTTTAACAAATACAATTAATTGGACCACTGGGCACGGAAAAGTCGAACCATCACAAAATACACATTGCACAATTCCTGGCCAAAAAAAAAAAGGAAAAAAGGCAGAAAATTACGTGCAAAAAATGAAACAACTTATTCATAATCAACTCATTGATAAAAAATTAGAGTCCAAGGTTTACATTAAATTTATTAAGCGCATATGTTTCAAACTAAAAAGTTCGAATAAAAAGAATCAAACGGTCAAATCAGTCATTGGAAATCAACTTTTCCTCCCCAGATAACTGATACAAAAATGTTGTCAGAGAAAAGATTAGCAAGGGGAATTGGAGCATTTTCTTTAATTAATTATGTAAGTACCTATGCTCGATAAGCATGACATAAAAATTAACGGACAGAATTGTAGCAAAGTAAATCAGGTTCTGATTAAAAATACAACTTCCCGTTAAACACGAAGGTTCGAAGATAATATTTAGGTATGTATAGATGAACAGAGGATTCATCTGGAGGAGGTCAGTGTTGACGGTGGTCGAGTCATCTAAGGCGCCAGGTGCACCTCTGCGTGATCCCGCATTGTAGTTTCGAATCCCGACAAAGGCATTTGTTTATTACGACCTGCTACGTTATTTTAAGACATCTTACGTTGTGTTACTGCAATGATTCATTAATCAATCATCGCGAAACGCATCCTTTTAACTTCAAATTGTTTCTTCTTTTTATCAAATCAAGAATCATTTCGTTCTTAAAAGGAATAATATACCTCATATCGTATTTTTTAGGGGAAAAATAAAACCAACATCGAGAAGAAACTAAAAGAGAAAGGCGCAAAGATAAAAATCCGGAACGAAAAAAATGTATTGAAAAAAAAAAATGTAAATGTATAGGTACCTAAATGAAAAAAATGAAAATAAAGAAAAATTAGACAGCATCGAGAGTCTAGGATAGTACAGGGTAACGTGTTATTCCTAGCACAAGTTCGAGCGTACAGATTTCTGGAATGTATTATTGTCTAGAGCAACGGCTTCTCTGGAAACTCGCTGGATTTTCATCAGGTAAGGTCTTAAAGGATTTTCAAGACGAAAACTTCATCTTCCAGGGTGCGAAATTGGAAAAAACTTACGTCAGAACATCGTAATTGCGACTTCAACTCACGGGTTTTTGATAATACCTAGGTTAGGGTGTTTCTTTATTTTTTCAATTTTCGAATTCGAAGGAGGTCCTGATCCTAAAAGTTGATGTGTAGATACATTAGAAGTCTCGTACAAGGAAAAAAATTTAAAACAATTTTTACCCGGTGCTCAAACGACTTAAGTGACACAGGTTGAAATTTGAGATTTTTCGATAAAATAACACTGTTTTCCCATGGAAAACGCCAAGTTACGGCCCTAACGTGCGAAAATTTCGTCCGTTTCGTCGTATCTGCAACACAAAAGCCGCAAAACACCCGAGAAAGGCGCGCGCAACGAGAGACAATGGGAGCAAAATGGGCGCGCCGCGCCGTAGCGCAACGCGCGCGCGTCCTCTGCACTGCCTATAAGCGACTAGAGTCCCTTTATACCCTGAGTTAAGACAACTCGATTATCAGCTGACTGGCAGCCGGCCTTGGCTGGCCATGGAGGCCGAAACGAGTGCACCCAAACAAACGATATTGAGGGATAAGGATCAGGAATCCTGCGATGTCTGTCACACAAAAACAACAACATCAACAAATTAATTAATTAAAAAGAAAATGGGATTGGTTTGTGAATAATTTCTTAATCTATTTTCATTTTAGACCGATGGAAATAACAATTTACTCTTGATAAACCACAATTAGGTAATATTTTCATTATTCTTGTTCACATTCGAGGTACCGCCATCTTGGTGCACTCGTTTCGGCCTCCATGAGCGAGAACCAATCAGAATTGGATTTTTTTTTAGGCCACTTTCGGCCCAACCAAAAGTGAGTTGTCTGAACTCTGGGTATAAAGGGACTCTATAAGCGACATGCCGCACGCACGCACTAAGCTTACGCGGGCCCGAAAGTTCCCGTCCGCTGCAATGTATCATTACGAATTTATCTAGACACACTTTAACATTAAAAAACAATTGAAATGTATAAATACATCAAAACGACAAATTTTCTTTGTAAAATATTGGCTATATGTAGGAAAATCAATTTCAACAAATAAAACAGTCGAAAGTTAACAAACTACCTAAATCAAATAATCCACAGTTTACTTAAAGGCTTGGAGTCTTAAAATGGTTGACAGACTATTTTCATTATTTTTGTATGGTTTTATTGACTTTGGCTTTGACTTGTAAGAGATCATGAAAATGCAGCTCTTGTTTATATCGGGAGTTGGCAATACATGCACTGATTCCTTTGTAAAACTTCGCGTGAAATAGGATGGTTTCACTGGTTTTCTCTGAAACAAACCCTAAAACTAAAGAAAAACTCTCAAAGTTAAGGCCGTATTGAAAAAGATATCCCCGCTTTCCTGAGAGTCCACCTTCGTAATAAGCCAAATTTTCTACGCTAAGATATGGAGCAAATTGACGGCGTAAGTTCGCAATCACATATCTCAATTCCGGTGTCTGAATATCTCCATTTCTATGTTATTTTTTAAAGGAGAACAAACTGACACCATTCCTTAAAGTTTATGCAGAGTTTTCTTCTCACATGGAAAAAAATCACGGCAGTTTTAAAGAATTGCCAGTGAGTACCTAGTTTTCCGTTTAAAAAATAAAGTACCTAGATATGACAGGAAGGCTGCGACGTCGCAAACGGAGTCGTGTGATTGCCGACTCTTACTGTCGAAATGAATCAGCAGGATTGCGGTCAAAACTGAAAACACGTGTTTTTAGTTTTGGAAACCCCAACGAAGTGGCTACCCTGTCAATTTATATTATTCGCTCTTTGCATGGAGAGTTTGACTTGATACAGAGGTGGACTCTCAGGATAGCATGGGATATCCCCTCCATTACAGCATCAACTTTCAGAGCTTTTTTCAGTTTTGGAATTTGTCTCGGAGGAAACTGATAAAACCATCGTGTTTCTCGCGGAATTGTGCGTAATAATCTATACAGGGTGAGCGAAAAGTCCCCGACCCCCCCTCTAACTTTTGAACGAATTGAGCTAGGGAAATGAAACTTTGGGGATGTTCCTATCTCAAAGGGGACCATATTTTGGGGGGGGGTCAAAATTTTGGTCCCCCCCTCAGGGGGGGACGGGGGCCCCCCAACTTTTTTTTTTCAAATGGCAACCCCTATCTTGTGATATCTCATTCGAAAGAGCATAAAAAACTAAGAATTTTGGCGCAAACCGCAGATCAATATCTTAATTTTTGACCGAGTTATGATAGGTCAAAGGTCAACTTTGACCTATTTTCAAAAAAATCATAACTCCGGTTCGAATTATCGTAAAGGAAAAAATAAAACGGGAAAATTTACCAAATTGTGTCCGCTTTTAAGTAAAAATTGCAAAAATCACTTCGATTTCATTTTAAGGGGGGGCTCGGACCCCCAAATACGTCAATTCAAAGGTCATTCAATTTTCCCGCGAAATAAGCCAATTTCCCCTGGATTTGCCTCCACATTATCTCAGTAAGGTCAAAATCAGTTCAACATTACGTTGGCAAGTCCCCAAATTTCGGGAAAAGTTAAAAAAAATGATATTTAAACGGTCAAATTTAATTACCTTAAATATCATTTTTTTTAACTTTTCCCGAAATTTGGGGACTTGTCAACGTAATGTTGAACTGATTTTGACCTTACTGAGATAATGTGGAGGCAAATCCAGGGGAAATTGGCTTATTTCGCGGGAAAATTGAATGACCTTTGAATTGACGTATTTGGGGGTCCGAGCCCCCCCTTAAAATTAAATCGAAGTGATTTTTGCAATTTTACTTAAAAGCGGACACAATTTGGTAAATTTTCCCGTTTTATTTTTTCCTTTACGATAATTCGAACCGGAGTTATGATTTTTTGAAAATAGGTCAAAGTTGACCTTTGACCTATCATAACTCGGTCAAAAATTAAGATATTGATCTGCAGTTTGCGCCAAAATTCTTAGTTTTTTATGCTCTTTCGAATGAGATATCACAAGATAGGGGTTGCATTTTGAAAAAAAAAAGTTGGGGGGCCCCCGTCCCCCCCTGAGGGGGTGACCAAAATTTTGACCCCCCCAAAATATGGTCCCCTTTGAGATAGGAACATCCCCAAAGTTTCATTTCCCTAGCTCGATTCGTTCAAAAGTTAGAGGGGGGGTCGGGGACTTTTCGCTCACCCTGTATATTTAATATCCTAAGGCTTTTTTTGTCAGAACTTAAATCACAAACTCCTAACACATGCAAGATCTCCATTACCTGCCGATGTTACCTATCCTCCTGTTGTGCGTGGACATCACTTTAATTGTGCGCTCAGCATGGTCACTATATCAACTTTTATGATTTAAATACTTTTTTTACCTCAAGATACTCGGAAGTAAGTAGCCATGGGGCTGGGCAAGAGTCTAGAAATGAAAATGGCAAATCCATAATATTGAAAAAAAGGCTAGAATGTTGGTTGGGGAGAAGCCTGGATTTACCGGACATTCTTCAGCGTAGGTACACATTGAGGAGGACGTAAGTCACATTGAGGCCCGGAAAAATGACCCAGAGGTCATCGCAGACCTCTTGAAGTTTCGCAGCTTTAACGAGAGTACTTACAACAGCTAGTGTTGTGCTCCGTAATTTATCCAGCCACGCATGGTACCTCTGTACTTCTGTAGTAAAAATTTGGTTCCCTTGGCATTATTTGATGATGGACTTACATCGAACACAAAGAGAGTCTTTGTTCACAACATGAGACACAATGCAGAGTTGCCGAATCCACCTGTCCGTCAGAACGTACAATTTAACTAATGTCTAGGGTCACATTTGAAGACAATTATTTTCATGATCTCTTACAAGTCAAAGATAAAGTCAATAAAACCATACAAAAATAATGAAAATAGTCTGTCAACCATTTTAAG